ACTGTGGCATTTAGAGCAAGGGGGTCAGGACTGGAGTAAATGAAGGTTGTGTCGTCAGCAAATAGAATTGGTTTGAGGTGTTGGGAGGCATTTGGAAGGTCATTAATGTAGATGAGAAAGAGGAGAGGGCCAAGTATGCTGCCCTGAGGAACACCAATGTTGATGGGTAGGGTGGGAGAAATTGTATTATTCACAGAAACATACTGGAGCCTGTCAGTAAGATAAGATTTGAGGTATTGCAGGGAGTGTCCTCTGACTCCATAATGATGTAATTTAAGAAGAAGGTTTTGATGGTTGACAGTGTCAAAAGCCTTACGCAGGTCCACAAATAACCCAACAGGAAACTCCTTTTTATCAAGAGCAATTATTGTTATCAATTGATAAATGATAACAAATACATTGCAAGAGAAAAAGAGATGAGAGAGCTTAGTAAGTACATTAAAGCACATTGTTATATTAAAGCTCTGATTGATTACATTGACAGCTTGATTGGTAATTTAAACAAGATTAATAGACACCATACAGCAGATTGATTGCACATATAAGAAGACAGCAATAATCACAATGGTAAATATGTTCAGATTGGGTACATAAGGATTGGGAGATTGGGTAGCAATAGATACAGTGTAATTTTAAAGCAAATTTAAAGATAAAAAACTATGAAGACGAAATTAGGTACTTTTTAGTTTTGTTTTTGAATGACGCAAAACTTGGACAGTTTTTCAATTCATTAGGGAGTGAGTTCTATAGACTGGGTCGCTTTATTTGCAGTGTTTACACAGATTAAGTTTGACTCTGGGGATATCAAAGAGATATTTATTTATGGTGTGGTGATAATGGGTCCTATTGCATCTGTCCAGGGAGAGTTTCAGAGTAGGATTTGCATTTAAGAACAGAGTTTTGTAAATGTAATTGACACAAGAGAATTTGTGGAGTGAGATTATATTTAGCATGTTTAGGGAGTTAAACAAGGGGGCTGAGTGATGTCTAAAAGCAGAATTTGTTATTATTCTGATAGCAGATTTTTGCTGGGTGATGATGGACTTGAGGTGGTTTGCAGTGGTTGAACCCCATGCACAGATACCATAATTAAGATAGGGATAGATTAATGCATAATATAGAGAGATGAGAGCAGAGTTAGGTACATAATATACGATTTTGGAGAGTATCCCAATAGTATGAGAGTATGCATGGTGTCTATTAATCTTGTTTTTCTGATCAGGGGAAGGAAGACACCAAGCCTTGGGGGCGTAATTTTATTGACATGATAAATAATTCTGCAGAAATAAAACAGGCTTTTAAATAGGACTTAACAAATGTATAACATAGCCGTGGCTAACGCAAAGTACACGAAACATCTTAAATTGTACACCCGTAGTAAAACGTAATCTTATAGCCTAGTAACAAACTCTGCAGAAACCTAATGTCCTAATGTCTAGAATTAGCAGTGAGGCGAATGTAACAAATCTAATACTAAGTATAACAGGACACCAAAGTGAACAACATAACATAAGGGAAACCCTAGCTGGAGAATAATCAGGCGGCAGAAAACATAGTGACTGGGGAAGCCTGATATGTATTTGGAGAAGAAAATAACCCCAGGCCAGAGGCCGAGCCGCCAAGGAAGGAATTACCTGACAAGGTAGGGCTTACTAGTAGAATGTCTGTAAAGTCAAAGTAGTAGCTGCGGACAGCGGAACACTTGGGGACGGGCGCTGCACCCCCACCCCGCAGGCAAGCAGGCCGGACCCCCCCCCCCCGAAGGGCGAGTGCCCGCTGGCCGCGAGGGAAACCTCAGGGTGGCCAAGCAACTACGCTACCGACTGGGAAGGAAACGTCACTCTCGCACCTGCCTACCGCGATAGGACTGTTCTGCAAGCTCTTCTACAGGCGGCTGAGGGCCCCGCCTAGACCATATAGAGAGAGTCGTAACCAGAAGGAGCCCAGCCTAGCTCCTCGAAGCCGTAACTTGCGGGTGGCGACGTGGGCGCTTTTCCTGTGTGGGTTCGTCGCGAGGCCGAGCTGGAGGGCATGGGTTGTAGGCAGGGTGCCTCCTTCGGCAGCGTGGGCAGTAGTGCTTGAATGAACATGAGGTGAAAGTGCAGCCGGGTCCCCTCGAGTGGTAGGCGAAGCAGTAGCCCGGGGGTAGCCCAGCTGCCCGGGCGCTGGAGAGAGAAAGTGCTGCCGGTCGCCCTGCCTCCTGCCTCATCGGCTGAGCAGCGGCCTGGGCGAAGCGTTGCACCGAGCGAAATTCCAAGTCCAGCCTGTAGTCCAACCATGAACAGCCCGACCTCTCCCTGTCCCATCTGAAGGCCTGATCGTACCACATCCAGTCGCCTTTGAGGGTCGTCTTCATGGTCTTCACGTAACGCGCATAGGTAAACAGAGCCTGAGCCTCCGCTGGGTGCTTCTCGACGTAGATAGTGGCGTAGATGTCAAGGCCATGCGCCCACTGGTCCGGCGTCAGGGGCGGCTGCTTCTTACCAGGCTGCTTTGCGTCAGGGGGTGTCGCGGAGTGGGACTCAAAAGAACCTGATTCCCGCTCATAGGCAAGCAATTGCCCGAGGTCGACATACTTGTTTGCCCAGACCTTCTCCCGAAGGGCTTGCGGGACGTGCACGCCCAAGAGTGGGATGCTGGAGCCCGTAGTCGCCCGTAGATGCCCCGGCCAGGGGCTAGAAAAAGTGTGGGGCGCTCTCTCCTCAGGGGACTCGTCGTAGGAGGACGGACTGGAGGAGCTTGCACGTCGCCTCGACGTATGCCCCCTTGCCCTGGCCCGTGGGCGGCGGTCAGTGGAGGGGGGCAGGGCGGCTGTGGCAGCCGCAGCAGGGTCGGCCTCGGAAGTCCCAGTGGCCGGAAGGCTTGTGGGGTGAGAGGGCCCCCGGGCCTGCGCGATGAGCGCCTGCAGCGTCGCCCAATCGTCGGCCGACAGGGGTGAAGGCTGCGACGCTGTGCCACCCGCCGCTATGCCGGCAGCGGGCCTCTGGGATGTGTGGTCGCCGTCCGTATCCGAGCCGCCCGAGGAGCCCCCCGAGGAGGGGGAGGCGAAACGGGCGGGCTTCGTCCTGGCCCTGGCCGGCTGCGTCCTAGCACCACTGCGCTGTTGTCCTCGCGTTGACGCCGCCCGAGCCCTCTTCCGTGTTGCAGTTGCTGCATGATCCGGCTTCTCGCCACTGTGGAAAGGTGAAAACGTAAGCAATGGCACTGATTTAACACTGCAAAAGTGTTATTAAGTAAATACCGGGCATAACTGAAGTTGGACTAAGGAACAATTAAGTTTAGAAACTTAAATAAATAATAAATAACGCAGTGAGGCCAAATCAGCAAGAGAGGCATGAAGCTTAAGCAGTGCTAGAAACAAAGAATAAGTAGCAGAGTAGATACAAGACAAACTGTAACTGAACAAATAAATAGCTTAAGACCGTATTGTAACATACTTATTTTTAAGCTGAGCAAATAAAAGATAATAGATACTTGTATTAAAACTGAACCAATAAAGAGTAATCAGTGAGTCATGGATAAATTGGGTAGAATAAAGCAGGACTATACAAGGGTAGGATGTTAGGTTAAACAGATAAAACTGCAAGGTTTAGATTGGGTAGATTAAAACTAATGTTCGGGGATAGATTGGTTAAACAGTACTTATTCAAGGAATAGTTGAACTAGATTAAACAATAATGGTCTCAAAAGTGAAAACAAAATTAATTGCGTGTCCCACGGCAATGGACACTGCCATAACGCTGCAACAGGATAGTAAGTAAATACAAGGCATAACTGAAAGCTGAACAAAGTAATAAATTAATTTAGAGAAACTTAAAAAATGATAACATGGCGTAGCTCACCCAAGCCGACAAGCCACTCTACGGCATGTGCCTACCCTGGAGGAGTAAAACAGAACAGAGAGAACGGGAGGGGAATATTATATTCTAACAATAGAATAAGACCGTAATATAATGTACTTGCGATAAGCTGAACAAATAAAAGAAAACGGTGGTAAGCATGGGGAAGATTTGGTAGCTAAAGCGGGATTAAATTAGGGATAGGATGGTAAGAAAACAGTAATATGCAAGGAATGTTTGGGTAGCGAAAACTGTATTGTTCAAGGGATGGAAAGGTTATTAAACAGTACTAAACAAGGGAGAATGCTAGCCTAAGCAATAATATTCTCGAAAGAGAACAAAATTAGATGAGTATCGCACAGCACTGGACGCAGCATAACACTGCAAGAGGAATAGTAAGTAAATACAAGGCATAACTGTAAGCTGAACAAAGTAATAAATCAATTTAGAACTTAAAAAAGAAATAACATGACATAACATGAATAACATGAAATAACACAACGTATATATAACGCTTCGTGAATCTTGGACCTGGTCGGGAGAGGGAGTGAGAGCGGGACCTGACTTCCCGCGCCTTTTATGCCACCCAGGCTGGCCGCACCGCGCCTGCGGGACGCGATGCGCAATTGTCTCTTCCTTCCCCCGTCAGAAACTCCACCGCCTTTCGTCAAAAGGCAGTGGGCCATTAAATTACCTATCAAGCTGTCAATGCAATCAATCAGAGCTTTACTATACCAATGTGCTTTAATATACTTACTTAGCTCTCTCATCTCATTTTTCTCTTGCAATGTATCTTAATCATTTATTAATTCTGATAGAAATTACCTACTTAAAATTATCTGCTAGATTAAGGACCTGCCCGAAACGCTGCGCGTACTAGTGGCTTTACAAGATTCTAAATACTATGCTATGTATTCTCACAAACTCAATGTAACTTCTTGTATATAATAAATAAATAAATAAATAAATAAATAAATAAATAGATAGATAGATAGATAGATAGATAGATAGATAGATAGATAGATAGATAGATAGATAGATAGATAGAGATAGATAGATAGATAGATAGATAGATAGATAGATAGATAGATAGATAGATAGATAGATAGATAGATAGATAGATAGATAGATAGATAGATAGATAAACAAACACCCAGGAGCGACGGCACCACACGGCTCTGTGCTAGCGCTGCCCCTAACCCAACAACATCAACAAAATCGTTCAAATGGTTTGTTTATTTTGCGTCCCAGACTCACATACTGCAGCGGTAATATGGACAGGTGAGTGAATAATATTGTGTTGTCAGTGCAGACCGAGGCACATAGCAGATTATAGTGATTTATTTAGTATGTAATCAAACTTGTGACCGTGATGAAATAGTGATAAGATAAACTGATTGTAGTAGATAGTAGGCTCAGTGGCTACAGGTGCTTCATTCCACCGAGGTTAAAAGGAAACTCCAGATCATGGCTCCCCAGAGGAACTAGAGAAGGCTGCTTAGCTAGCCTGAACCAGGTAAAGTTATAATATCGTGAGAAACGACAGTTTAAATAGGAAGACCTTTGAAACGGTCCGTCTAATTACCACAAGCTACCACAAGCTACGCAAGCTTCACTAAGCTTCCTGGCAATACGTTAGAAATGAATAAATATGATATATTTACTCATTATAATGTTGGTGCTGAATGTACAACACGAAAAAACAATTTTAATCTGAAAAAAGTATCTTTTTGTAAAGAAATTAGACGAAAATAAAGATCTGGTGACACCAAATCAAGTCAACGATCAAAGCGTCGGTTAGGTTAGGTTAGGTTAGGTTAGGTCAACCTAACCTAACATCATATTTATTCATTACTAACGTATTGCCAGGAAGCTTTGTGAAGCTTGTGTAGCTTGTGGTAGCTTGTGGTAATTAGACGGACCCCTTTGAAACACTCCAGGTTTCATGACTCGGTGTCAGTAGGGGTCTGTCTAATTACCCAAAGCTATCTAAAGTCTCCTAGCATTCTGTAAGTAATAAAAAAATATAAATAATAATAAATAAATAATTTTTTTTTTTTATTCAGGTAAGGTACATACATACAAGGTAAGATACAAAAGTTGATGGATTTATAGATAGAGCTAGTACATACAATGCCTAAAGCCACTATTACGCAAAGCGTTTCGGGCAGGAAAAGACACTAAGACTAAAACGTAATACTAATTGAGATTGAAGTCTAAATTGTGTTGAGAAAAAATAAGAAAAGAATGGAAAAAAGGGGGGGGGTGAACCATGGCAGAAAAAAAGCAAAAATACAATTTGGTCAACAAAACAGCATTGTTTAAAATAGAAGACATGGGTTGACATTTTGGGGGTGAGGTAGGTTACATTGAGTTAATTAGGTAGTACTTAGTTTTTATCTTAAACTGGTTGGGAGAGGTACAGCCTTTTACATAATTGGGAAGGTCATTCCACATGATATATATGCTCACTGTAATGTTGGTACTGAATGTAGAACATGAACATTTTTTTTCTGAAATAATGTAATTTTATCACTAAATTAGACACAACAATATATCTTGGATAAGTCGCTCCACAACATTGTTGTTTGTATTGTCGACTTCCTATGGCATCACCTGCCATCTTCTTAAGATTCTTGAGATGATTTCGGGGCTTTAGTGTCCCCGCGGCCCGGTCCTCGACCAGGCCTCCACCCCCAGGAAGCAGCCCATGACAGCTGACTAACTCCCAGGTACCTATTTACTGCTAGGTAACAGGGGCATTCAGGGTGAAAGAAACTTTGCCCATTTGTTTCTGCCTCGTGCGGGAATCGAACCCGCGCCACAGAATTACGAATCCTGCACGCTATCCACCAGGCTACGAGGCCCCTGGCCATAGTTAAACTTATGTCATAACCACTGAGGCACACCTCACTTCTTTCCTGGATGACTGTGGGATAACAGCTGTATAACCAGAACATAAATTGTAGTCTCATGTACTACCTATGGAGCCGGTCGGCCGAGCGGACAGCACGCGGGACTTGTGATCCTGTGGTCCTGGGTTCAATCCCAGGCACCGGCGAGAAACAATGGGCAGAGTTTCTTTCACCCTATGCCCCTGTTACCTAGCAGTAAAATAGGTACCTGGGTGTTAGTCAGCTGTCACGGGCTGCTTCCTGGGGGTGGAGGCCTGGTCGAGGACCGGGCCGCGGGGACACTAAAACCCCGAAATCATCTCAAGATAACCTCAAGATAACCTAAGTGTACTTAAGCTCTGCCTTTCCTTGCCAAAGGTTTTTTTTTTTTTTAAATTTGTCATCTTTGTTGTTGACATTTCTTGTTTTTTACTCTAATTATTTGTTCTTAATTAACCCCCCTTGTCACTAAACCTAGGTTTCTTTAATACCCGGTTATATTTAAAGTAACTTGGAATTTGTTTCGTAGTAATCATTTATTGGAATTAATTAACAGTATAATTGTTTATATAAGTATCTACCTCAGTATCATAGTAAAATCTTCCACATAAATATAATCTCACTCTGTTTATTTTTATACTTAGATTTATATTAGAGTAAATTTCTAGATTTACTTAGATTTATGTCATTTTTTTTAAATTATCTATTTGAGCTCACTTTGTTTTCTTAGGTTCATAGTAATTATAGGATTTTAACTAACCATTACTAAGCTAATTATTGTTAACATCATTTTACTTTATGATTATTATTTTCTTATTATTTTTTAATTTACATTTATATTGTCAGACTTTACAGATTTTTTTTTCTTTTACCTAACTTGTGTATCCTTCCTGGCTACCAATGGGATCTTTATTTGACTTCTAATTTGTTACTCTTTTATGTGTATTTGCTTCTATTCTTGTGTTTTGCTATAATTACTTTGTTTTTACAGCAGATTTAGTATTTAACTGTTTCTGTAATTGCTTGTCTTATTGTATCGTGACCCCTTTGCATTTCCATGCACACTGATATTGATCCTGAACTAAATCTTCTGTCTCATATCTTTACCAACCAGCACATTGATCATCATTATTGCAAGTATTACACAGCACACCAGGCAAAAACAAACTCCAAAATAGCACCTGCTTATCAGTTTACAACCAAAATGTTAGATCACTTGGTAAACATTTTGACGAAATAATGCACTGCTCACAGCACTAGGTACTAATTTATCGTTCATTATTTTAACAGAAACTTGGCTAAGTAAAGACTATACCCAACTCTGCTACTTAGCTGGTTATAAAGCCATTCACAACTGTAGGCCTAATAAAAAAGGTGGCGGCACAGCTATATATTACCGAGATAAATTTATCTGCAACAGTGTCATTAGTGATAGAGATGACAACTGTGAATATACTTTTGTTCAGTTTACAATTAAATCTCTTAAATCCTCCTTGACTATTGGAGCCATCTATAGATTTCCCAATACTAACAAGCTTCATTCTCAGACAACCTAAGGAATCTTATTATAAACAACAATCTCAACAAAAACCACATCATTCTGGGAGGAGACTTCAATATTGACCTGGGTCAACAAAATTGCTCTCAAGTTGACTATTTTCTTAACAGCATGAACTCCAGTATGCTAATCCCCACAATCACCAAACCCACCCGAGTCACTCAAACATCAGCCACTACCTTGGATCATTTATGGAGTAACATAACAGTTCCCCTTGTATCTGGTATAATCTATGACAGAACAACTGACCACTATCCTACCTTTCTCATAGCAAACATGGACATACCCCCACCAGAAAGCAAGAAACTTACATTCAGGTTACACTGTGAATCAGCTTTAGGCAATCTTACAAATGCACTTCACAATATTAACTGGGATTCTGAATTCAATAATGCTCAGGATATAAATTCATTAGCTAACCTCTTCCTCTCCAAAACTCTAAGCTTCTACAAAACTCATTGTCCCCTCCTTACCAAGCAAGTAACTGACAAAAGAATAAACAATCCATGGCTCACAAGTGGCATTTTCAAATCAATCAACAAGAAACATGAATATGAAAAGAAACTTAGGATTGGCCTAGTTACAAAGGAAGTAGTTAATAGGTACTCATCAATATTTACCAGTATCATAAGAAAGGCAAAACTTTAATATTATGAGAATAGATTCAATGAAGCAAAAGGCAACAATTATAGACCAATATCAAACCTACCCATTCTATCAAAAATATTGGAAAAAATTATCAACAAACAGCTCTATTCCTACCTCGTAAAATTCGACATACTCAGCCCCTGCCAGTTTGGCTTCCGGTCCCAAAAGAGCACCAATGATGCAATCATTAGTCTCCTTGACGTAATCTTCTCAGCCCTTGACAAAAATGAGTTTCCGATTGGACTCTTCATTGACCTAAGAAAAGCCTTTGATACTGTTAATCACAACTACCTCTTACTTAAACTCCAGCATTATGGAATCCGAGGCCTTGCCCTGGACTATATCCGATCCTATCTTAGTGACAGACACCAATGTGTACCATTAATGATACAACCTCTTCCACTCTACCAATAACCATTGGAGTGCCACAGGGCAGCATCTTGGGACCTCTTCTATTTCTTATATATATCAATGATCTGCCTAATGTCTCTAATATTCTTAAAACTATATTGATTGCTGATGATACTACCCTCATCTATTCAGACCCCAACCCACATACACTAAATAATGTGAATAATGAATTAAAAAAGTCCACTTATGGTTGTCAATTAACAAACTAACACTAAACATAGAAAAGACCTACTACATCTTATTTGGAAGCAAGTCATTGAATGCAATTCAGCTACAGATAGACAACATTAACATCAGTAATAAAAATGATGGAAAGTTTATTGGCCTATTCCTAGACAAGACTCAACTTCAGCACCCACATTCAACACATAACTAAGAAAGTCTCTAAAACAGTTGGTATACTCTCCAAAATCAGATATTATGTTCCTAACTCTGCTCTCCTTTCACTATATTATGCACTAATCTATCCGTAGCTTAATTATGGTATCTGTGCATGCAGGGTCAACCACTGCAAACCACCTCAAGCCCATCATCACCCAGCAAAAATCTGCTATCAGAATAATAACAAACTCTGCTTTCAGACAACACTCAGCTCCCCTGTTTAAATCCTTTAACATGCTAAATATTAACTCCCTCCACACATTCTCTTGTGTCAACTACATTTACAAAACCCTGTTTTTAAATGCAAACCATGCTCTGAAACTCTCCCTGGACAGTTGTAATAGGACCCATTATCACCACACCAGAAATAAATATTTCTTTGATATCTC